ATATTGTTTTATCAAAATGAAGAGTTAATCCAAACTCCTAAAGATTCAACTAGACCTATCATCATTGAACTAAAGTTTCATACTACCAAAGCTAATCATGAAAGCTCTTGTTGCCACTCTTTTGCCACAAACTTAAGAGAGAAAGTTGCCAAATTAGATTCTAATTTCCCAAAAAACTGTCATAATCCAAAATGGAACTCCTACTTCGAGTTTGATTGTCTTTCTAACTTGAATAAGAAATATCAACAAGCAATCACTGGAAATCATATATATCTTTCATCTGAAATTATACAGAGATGGGTTGTTATATGTTCTAAGCTTATTGAACAATCTTCCCTTCTTTCTGAAACAGACGAAAAATACATACAAGAATCATCTTCATTGGTAAAGCAGATGCAAGACATTCTAGTTAGCCCTGTTGTAAAACACATTCTAAACTCGAATACAAGTAAGCCAAGCAAGGTCAGTAGCATTGATGAAGACCTTCAAAATGATACCTTTTATAAGCATCTCGAGGAATACTCTCCTGAGAACCCCACCAAACATGAATTATCTCAACAAGAGTCTCAAAAAGCGGAAACCCCACGCCAACAGGATGTCCAAGAAAACCAAATTCTCCACCCCATTCATGAAATTCAGCCAATACAAAATAATCCGAATTCTATGAAAGTCACACACAAAGATGGAACTTCACCAACTCCAGAAATTCTACACATTGAAGGTACCACACACACTCAAGAAATTCCTTTATCACATGAAATTCTAACCATCCAAGAAACTTCTCCAATACAAGAAATTCCACCCATCCAAGAAGCTTCTCCAATACAAGAAACTCCACCCATCCAAGAAACTTCTCCAATACAAGAAATCCCAACCATCAATGAACCTTCTCATACCCATCCACAACTAATTAACCTCGACATTTCCTCAGAAACTGAAAATGATAATCATCTTGATGAATCTACCAACAACTATGGTGAAATATCAAAATCATGTGACCAAAATATGCAGATCATCCAACCATCCAATTATACTAGTTCCCTACAAAGTGATCATCCCACATCTACAGATCCAAACCAAACATATGCTAATCAAAACTACATAAGTCTCTATGAATCTAGTAGTGATGAATTCAGTGTTCGTGAATTTGACTAACTTTCTGTCAAATCCTCTTAATTCCAATCATTTTTATTTAATATTTAAAATCTCATAAAGCAACATGCAAAATTAAATATCAACTAGGCGCCCTATTCTTAGCGCTCATTGGGGCGTCAGATTACGTATAGTGGGGGGTAGAACTTTTTATATATTACAAAGTTTGAATTAGTAAAAACTAAAGTGCGTTAGAGGTGGAGGCTGTTGCGGTAGTAGTAGTGTAGTATTACTACTATAAATTGTACTATTAGAAACAAATACACAAACAAATAAACTCAATTCATGTCTCGCTATAATTTTTAGTTATTCTATTTTTTATAAAAAACTAATTCTTGTCAGATTTTTTTATACAATTTCTTTTTCTTAATTTTCAAGGATGCCAAACCCAGTTGTATACTTTGATATCTCAATCGGCCAAACTCCAGCCGGTCGTATCACTATGGAGTTGTTTGCAGATAAAGTACCAATAACAGCCGAAAACTTCAGAGCACTCTGCACTGGAGAAAAGGGAATGGGACAGTCAGGAAAGCCCCTTTGCTACACTGGATCATTCTTCCATCGTATCATTCCACAATTCATGATCCAAGGTGGTGATTTTACTCGTGGTGATGGTACTGGTGGTGAGTCAATCTATGGCTCCAAGTTCAGAGATGAAAACTTCGTCTACACTCATGACGCCCCATTCCTTCTCTCTATGGCTAATGCTGGTCCAAACACTAATGGATCCCAATTCTTCATTACAACTGTTCCATGCCCATGGTTGGACGGAAAGCATGTTGTATTTGGAAAGGTTTTGGAAGGAATGGAAGTAGTAAAGAGCATTGAGAAGTGTGGTTCTCAAAATGGAAAGCCAACCAAGTCTGTATGCATCACTGCTTCTGGAGTTCTCTCTTAAGTAATTAAGGGTTTTTATGTAACCTCCATCTCTTTTTGAAGATTATGTATCCTAGGACATTAATTTTTAAGTTATTTTGACTTCGTTTTATTTTTTTTTTTTTTTTTTTGCTAAGCTATTAGGACTCCTTATTCCCTGCCTCATTCTGCTGCTTTATGGGACAGCTTCTGATGAATCATATAGAAAATATCTTTTCTAAACTTGTTTCCTTCAAACTTGTACTCCCTTCTGGAGCCGAGGTATGTCATTATAGGCACCCTTGCTGGTTTGTTTACGTAGATCTCTAAAAGCCGTTAGTATTTCTACATCCATTCAACCAAGTTAAGTTAGCAATGTAAGAATGGTATTATTCTCCTTGAAAAGAGATAATTGATTGAATCAAATCTGATTTTCTTGCCCTCTGGCTGATCTCCAATTGAAGTTTACTACAAACATCCTTTAACTCAATAACCTTCATAGAATTTAATATATTCTCATCATAATGAGGAATCTTAGCAATTTTTGCTACTTTGCTCGTCTTTTTACCTGATTTCTTTGATTCTACGGATGATGATTTACTAGACCTTCCTGACCCTGACTTTTCTTTCTCAATAGTCTTCAATTCAGGAGCATTCTCAACTTCCGGATTTGCAGCTTCTGCTGCTTTCACAACACGATTCCTAAGTAAAGGAGCTCTTAGTCTACCCAAATTAGTCTTTCCTAACACACTTTTCAAAGGATTTTCCTCCTTTTCCAACTTCTCTTCTTGAATAATAGGCTCAGTATCCTTGCTAATACTCTTTTTAGATTCTGAACTATCTTCATTTTGTGGACGCCTTAAACGACTCTTTTTTAAAGTGGGAGCCTCTTTAGAAACTTTATTCGTTGAATTATTTTCATCTGCATGTTCTTCCTGTGTTCTTTTCTTAGACTTGATTTTGGATGCAATTTGCTTTTCATCATTACCTTGAACTACTTTTTCAGAGGTAATCTTTTCATTCAGTAACTTTTCAATCTGAGCATTCATCTCATTTAACTGAGTCTTTAAACTGTTCTTTTCCTCGGTGAGCTCGCTCAACTTCTTTTCATAATCTTTATTCATCTGTTGAAAATCTTTTGAAGATTTTTCAAGTTCAAAAATCTTCTTTTCCTTGGATTCCATATCTAATTCTCTCAAGCTTAATTGTTCAGTAATTCTCGCAACCTCCCCTTGCAAGATCTCATTTTCATGTTCCAATTCACCCATACCCATCATCTGATCCCTTAATATATCAATATATGCTTCAAATTTTCGAGTTTCATTTTCTACTAACTTCCTAGTTGAATTCTCAATCTCTGATATTCCTAATTCCAATACACCCTGAGGTTTCTGAATTGATAACAAGCTCATTCCTGTTCTGTCGTCACCAAATGATAACCTTTCTAATAAATGTCTCAAATATGTGATCAATTTTTATTCTTTCTTTTTTAATCTTGTAAATATTTCTAAATTCGCATGTTTTTCCGTTTTAACATGTTTCAAAATCTGTTCCGTACCTTTATGGTCTTTAATATTTACTAAATATTAGTCCACAAGTAGCCCGCCTTTTCCCCGCACAAATTTGAATTTGAAAAAAAATGAGGTTTTTACCCCTAATACATGTCCGTAATTCCAAGCTTAATATGCATTATAGAAAAATACATTAATATGATGGGGGCGGATCAGCCGTTTGGTTAACTTAATAGTCTTGCATTAATTCCAACTAAAACTTTTGTTATTACGAATTTAGAAGTTGTTACAAAGTAGCATTTGTGCGAATAATCTTAGACTAAGGATAAATTAGAAATATACAATGTAATTAAAATCAAAAATTGGAAAAGTAAAACAATTCCAATGAAAAAGTTATTTCAGTAAAAGTGATAACAATTAATTATCTTTATAAAAGGTCAAAATTTAGCTAGTAATATATAAAAAAATATAAAAAGTCGGATTCTCACAAAAGAACTATTTGAAGTGAGAAATGTTTAAATTAGATCTTAGATGTTTTGTCTCGTTCTTCAGACATCTGAACAAATCTTTGGTATTCTTTAAATTGTTGTCTTGGTGTTTGAATTGTCTTTCTGTTAATACCAATGGAAACTGATTCAATAATAGTTAAAAGAATTCCTCCAACCATTGCACTCTTTAATGAAGTCTTAAGACCACCTCTAATAGCTAGTAGTCCACCCGTTGCTGTTCCTGAAAAAATTGCATTCCAATGATCTTCCTTGCCTCTTAATTTGGCAAAAAGGCAATCAAAGCAAGAAAATGTTCCACCCCATATGGCAAAGCTCGTGCCAAGAGAAGGAGCTGCCTTTCTAGCAAAAAGCATACCGCTAGAAAACATCTCCCTTTTGGTTGAGGAGTACTTCACACCTTTGAAAAAACTTGTAATAAACCCACCAATACATCCCATACTAAAGGCTCCGCCAAGGTCTTCAAATACTCTTCCTGGAAAAGGTTCTCTGGTAAAATCGCTCATAATAAAAGATAAAATCTGCAGATATATATATTTCAAATTACTTAGAATAAATACATACTTATAAAACTCAAGTTACCAATTAAATGTTAATTTTTAAATATTAAATAAATAAAAATTAATATAAATACAAATATGTTCATTTATACTTGTATTATATAAATAAATATATAATAACAAATATAAATTGCCAAACTAATACCGGGAAAAATAAGCCAAGTCTAATGAGAAAAAAAAACAAAGAATATTTGAATTTTCTAATATTATGAAATTTAACTCCTAATGGCACTTCTATACTTAATCTTTTATTTATCTACAATATCTAAAATCAATCATTATATTTGCTTGATATTTTATTAAGTTTATTTTAAAAAATTAGAAAATCCAATAAATTCAATCACATGAAATATTTATCCTCACTAATTATGCACTTATACTATTAATATTAAATTAAAACGAGTGCGTATGTGCACGGATCGATAGCTCAGTGGTAGAGCAGGCGACTGCAGATCGTCTGGTCCCTGGTTCAAATCCGGGTCGGTCCTCTTAAAAATACCCCCTTTTTACCAAATTGCTGGTGTTTAGTATTTTTGTCTATACCTGTACATAATCTAATTATTTACTATCTGATTTCCTTATAAGTTACTTAGTTACTAATCAATTAATTGCACCTTTAGGCGCCACATAATGGCGGGCCGTGTGATTTGTTTGGGCGGGAATGTAGACGCGGCGGTCATGTGCGTATAGAGTGGGAACATGTAAAATATATTAACTAGGGGGTATATGAAATAAAGTGAAGAATACGTATAATGAAAAAAAATAAAAGATGGTTTTAGGTTTGCATATATAAAGCAGGTTAGATTGTTTATAAAGAGATTGTGTGTGAGATCTTGATGGATTTAATGAAAAAATAAATTAAGTAGTAAATTTAATCTAGATCAGCATCAATTGACCTGAGAACTTGCAAGGAAAGCTTAAACAATACCCAATTATCTTAGAATTGCAAATATTTAACATTTTAGGATTTGTTGAAAATCACATTTATTCAAGTGCCGCAAAAGGAGTAAATTAAAGATAATACGAAAAATGGCAGAGGTACCTGTATCTGAAGATATTTCAGCCTCACAACAACCACCATCATCCTCATATAGTTTACCTCCACAGTTCTCAAATGAACCAGATGTAAGAACTATGGCGTCTATTAAGGCGACCCTTTCAAAAAAAGCTGAGGAGCTTGTCAAGGCAGGGCAACCCTATGTAATGACTAGTTTAGGCCCAATCCCATTGCCTGATAATGTAAGAAACCAGATTCCAGAGAAATTTGTTGCAGCTCCAGTTCTAGAAGAACGTGAAGTTATTGTTGCAAGAAGAGAAGTACAAGAGAGAATTATTGAAGTTCCACAAATTCAATATGAGCATAAGTTTGTGGAAGTACCACAAAAGGTCGTGGTTGAGAAGATTATCCCAATCCCAAAAGATGTTGTAAGAGAAGTTGAAATTCCTCGTTATACAGCAACTGTTGAAGAGAAGGTCATTGAAGTTCCACAAGGTGTCAAATTTGTTGAGGTTCCTGTTGAGGTCCCTATTGCTTATCCTCCAAGAATAGTCCCAGTTCCAAAGCCATATATTGTTGAAAGAACTGTTGAGCTTTCTCGTCCAGTTATTGAAGAACGTCTTTTGGAGGTCCCACAAAAAGTTTATCGTCAAGTCCCATACTACAAGGATGTTGAAGTACCTTTTGTTGTTCCAAGATATGTTGAAAAGCTTGTTGAGATTCCATTCCATCCTGGAATGATGTATGATGAAAACATGCTCAATCAATCTATCCCACCTATTCCACCTCAATCACAGCCACCTTTCATGATGGGAGGCCCCGGATCTGCTCCAACTAGTGCTCCTTTATTATCTATGCCTCCACCAATGTATGGTACAAACGATCCTGAAGATGTCGCATCTGATGGACTTCCATCGCATCCTGCAATCCCTCCATACCATATGTTGCCACAACCACAACCGGGTGTAATTCCTCAGATGATCCCATTGGCTAATTCTTATGCAGCTTTCCCACTTCCACAAGGTGTTGGAATGTCCCCTCATATGTTGAACTCTGGCAATACTGCGCATATCCCAGGTAAAACGCCTGTACCTTTTAATCCACCTCAACAACCTCCACAGAACCTTCTCAATGGAGTTAATATTAATCAAATCCAATTCCCTCCTAATCAGCGTCAGCAGTTTCCATACCAATTCCCTCCTCAGCAGTAATTTATAGTGAATCACTGATATATTATCATTCTATTTAATATAATTATAATGAATATAAATAATAATTAGCTATTATTTATTGCTGTTGGGTTAATAATGATGTTTTCTACATCAATTTTTCCTGATTTTAGCTCGGCATTAAGTTTTGTCATTGAATCATAATAGGAGTAATAATTTTTCTATTTTTTATTTGTTCGCTCACTTTTTCGATGGTTCGGATTATTCATCTTTGTTGTCCATACGAACAAATTTCTAATTTCAGGAAGAATAAGTAAACAGAGAAATAGGCAAAATATTCAAAATTAAGTCATTTACTCAAACAAACCACACTTAAAATTCTAACAAAAAACAATTCAAACTCACAAATCTCAATCTTTTACTCACTCAACCTCAAAATAGTATGCTTAGTGATGACGGTTTCACTCAAAGTTTCCTCGTTACCACCAAAACTAATAAAACTTCAATCCTTTGCTTGGCAAAAGGGCCGAACCATAAAAAATTAATACATGCATACCTTCAATATTTAAGCCGCCTTAATACGTGTCTCTTTCGAGCTGACCACAATAATGCATGCATACAAAACCTAATGAATTGTGCATGATTAATACTTCAAAATCATACATTTGAGGAAATGGGTTCTACCATAACATAAATATCCATTCAAACTCTCTAATATTCGTCTCAAGATGCCCTATTAAATCTTTAAGTAGAATGTATGACTATATAATTTATGAAACTGGATGGTCTTAAAGTTAAGAAGTGCAATTTATTCCAGGTGCACAATGATTGAAACACATATATACCTTAATATTTCCTTAGAATAATAATTAAATATCATTGTTCCATTTAAATTGTAAATCCTCAGTTTACAAGCAAGAGTAGGTATCCAACGCTCGTACTCTGATCGACCAAGTTTAAAATTTCTCAAATGCAAATAGAGAAGCTGTAAGAATCGAATTAAAACCAACTATAAAGATAATAACCTGCAAAATTAGTTGGATTACCCACACTAGATAATATGGTGTTTAGTCATTTAGAGAAAAATGCTGTGATAGCCATATATATCTGTAAAGATTAACCTTAATAAGATTGAAGGAGAAAAAAACAGTAATACCATGACATTATTATTATAAAATCTGTCAATGTTTCCATAGTCAGTTACAAAAATATGCCAAAATCAACTGATAAATAAATCAGTGATTATACAAAACCTCGAAATAAAAATCATCTCCAACCAACTCACTTGAGAATGCATATTTGGACTTCTGCAATGATTATAATAATGCCATATTCAAAATATATGCAGAGACCTATTGTAGAAAGGGAAAGAAAATTTTCATAACCCTTCCTACAAGAATATTTGCATTTATTTTAATACAAAATGCAAATACTGATGTATTCCACAAGAGTTACATGCAGCTAATAAATTCAATATAAATCAATCATATCCATCTGCCACACTAATCCACAAAAACCCCTCAGTATCTATCTATTAGTACTCTAGTATATGCATTCAAATTATACATCTTATTGCCTATATAAATTTAGTAATAAATATATAAATAATAAATCTACATGCGTCATGTCTGCGCGCGCCTGATTTTATGTTAATAGATAAAATTGATAGTATCGGGTACCTAATATTGAAAAAATAATTTGAAAAAATAACGGATCTAAAAATAGGAAAAATTATGCATTTATATAGCAGCATTGAAAAGAAGAAATTTAAAAAAAGAATTACAAATTATTGAGAAGATAATTGAAAGAGACAACAAACTATTAAAATAGTTTTTGCTGTAAGTCCGAAAAGAATAAGATTTTTTTTATGTAGTTGAATAATAGATTTACAGAATAAATAGATGATGGACTTGAAATTATAAAATATACTATAAATTAATCCTATATTTTTAATTTATAATTGAAACTAATTAAATAAAATAATAAGGTGAAATGAGCCAAAAAATAGATTTGAATCAAGGTGAAAGAACTGAGTCAAAATGTCCAGAAACGCTTAATGAATTTTCTAATATGTATAAGCATAAAAAAATGCCATGTAAATCAGCGCTGAACTTTGGTGAAAATATTATAAATATGGGAGCTCCAAGTTTTATACCAGAATATCCAACAGCTTATTATTCTAACCCAGAAGTTATGAATCAAGGAATAAATTCATTAGTGGATACAAAACAACTATATGACTATTCATCCCCTGTAGGTGATCTTGAAAAAACCATTGAACATTACAAAATGAGTCATGAAATAGGATGGAATGCAAGTAATTCTTTCACTCCTACAAATTCTGGTTCTTTGGAACTTTTCCAATTTGAAAGAAGAGATAGTCCTGTCGCTGTTGATACTTTAAAAAATTACCCATCTTTTGAGAGAATGAATAGTGGTTTTCTTGGATTCGGAAGAAAACCTTCTAATTCAATATTTTCTATTGGACAAAAACTTGAAAGACTCTCTTCTAATGAAATAATCAACAATATCAATACCCTTCCTGAAATTGAAAATGGTATTGAGAACGGTATTGAAAATGGAATTGAAAATGGAGATATTCCTCACGTTGATTTGGAGCAATATACACAATTATCTTACTTTGAAAAATATATCAATTTTAACATTGACCAAATTAAGTGAATCCATTTCTTAAATATAACTACTTTTTATAACCAAAAATGCTATGAAACAAATCATTTTTGCAAAATATATTGGAATATTATTAGATTTATGAAATATCAAGCTGTTCAAAAGAATAGCCTGATACTCCACGTAAAATTTGTAATATTGAAAAGGAATAGTAACTCCCAGGAATAATACAAAGAATTCCCAAAAGCAAAGATGGTGTTGAATCAGAATATTTTTTTGAAAGGAACAAAGCCAACCCTATATAGAAGAAAAATGACCCGACTATAAAAAGAAAAAATGAAAGGAAAATTGGCTTTAAAGGTAATCCGCTTTTTGTCTTGAATGATTTAGGAGATAAAAATCCAACTTTTTTCTGAGATAAAGACGGCCCATTATGTGCTTCTTTACGTGCTTTCTCATGTTTGTCAACTTCGAAATGTTTTCTCTGGCTAATTTCCATCTTGAAAATAAGTATTTTCTGGGCCTTTTTATTATATTCAGTTCAGCTTATTAATTTCAATCTTTTTATATTACTATTAATATTATTCTTTTGATTGATTGATATTTTTATTTACTATTATAGGGCTCAGGAAAATTAATTAATAAATGTTATATATCAATTAAATAAATACTTTTAATCAACAAACTATATTCTAAAATTAATGTTAAGTTTTACTATTCAAAAAAAAAAAAATCTGCGCTTTGGGCCAAAAAAATGCCTTGACCCGTGATCGAAACGGGGACCTTGAGATCTTCAGTCTCACGCTCTCCCAACTGAGCTATCAAGGCAAGCTGATGTACCCACCGAGTTTCTATCTAATAATATGCTCGTAAAAAATTATTTATTTAATTGTTATGCTTTCATTTCATACTACTTTGCTCATAATCGAATATTTACGATATCAATACAACTTTAATATCGCAAAGTTAGACTATGATATATTTGGGTGCAACTGTTTTCCCGCCAACTGACTTATTTATTGTTTTGACTAGAGAAAACATACCACGATTTAGAATCGATAAAATAAGTCTGCACAAAAAAATAAATAATTAATTTTTTTAATAAATTAAATACAGATTAATAATTTAAATAAGAAAGGACCAAATTCTTGTGTTAAATTTAACATAATACTCGTCCTTTTTTTCTCTGATGTAAGCGAATTAACCTAGTGTGAGCTTTACCACTACATGATGGCATAAATTGAGTCTCACAATATACATGTATCTATTCTAAGATTTAAATATAAACCTAATCCAAAATATTAATTTTTTGCTAACAATTTCACCATTTTCTTAAACATTTTTCTTTCTAATTCTTATTTTTTTCTCACAGTTTTCTTAAATTTACGCAAAGGCGCGCAGTTGCATTTCCATATTAATATTGTAGCTTGGAATCCATGGGATACGTGGCTGCATGTCTTTCCCATGTATAATAATGGGGTAGATGTGTAAAACCGAAAGCAAGGAAACAGCAGCAGAAAGCTAGTTTATCAGAAAGTTTAACTGGCGATTTTCTAGTTAGCTAAAATATAAAAACTGAGAATAAGTAAGTAACTTACAGTTTTTGTACAGCAAAATAAAGGCAGCCCTTTAAAAAATATCAAAGGGCAGTAGAACTTGCATGATAATCAAGCAGAAAGAATTTGTATATAACAGAATTTCTTTTAATATATATTAAATATAGGAGTTTAATCAGGAGTAATTATGTCAGATCAAAATATCCCAATGCCTCAATACGCATCAATGGTTGCACCACCATCTGTAGTATTGCCTCAAAGTGATGCAGCAGCTCCTTCTACATCGATCTTGAACTGTTGCTCAGCTCCCCAATCAACTGATAATGGAGCAGATCCCGCATTAAGTGTAAACTCTACCCCTCAAATTGGAAAGGTCAGATTTGCATCAACAGGTACAACAATTGTAACTAGAAATGGAGTTATCTCGTTCGAAGAGTTCCTAAAGAAAGGTGCTCCAGTCGATCAGATGTTGATTCCTCCCTTCCCGCAGGTCTCTGGAATCCCAATGTTTGAAGATGGAACTCCTGATATCGCTACAATCCATTCGACATGCAATGTTGTTAATCTTTCCCAAACTAATCAAACTAATACTATTCCTCATTCAGATATTGGAACAGAAACTAGCCTTCCACAGCCTGAGGATTCTGCCAGATAAGTAATTCATTGTAAATACCGGAAGTTCTTAACTCTTTCTATTAAGGTTAGATTTAGATTTATAGCTATGATTAATAATAATAATAATGATAATAATGGAACTTAAGGGTTTAATTTTTTTTCATATTTACTAATTTATCATTCATCATTTATTGTTTAGTTTCCAATTACCTTGTGATTCCCAATCTTGGGATTGTTGTAATGGAGTTGACCAAAGCAAAAGTCTCTCTTCTAAGTCAATATTGTCTTGAATGTCGTCTTGTAGCATGTCTAGAATCTCATCATCATTTTCAAAGTCGAAATTGTTCATATCACATCCTGTTAATTCAGGAATGTCTTGACTAGTGTAAGATATGTGATTATTATCATCTGGCTTGGATTGTTGGCCAAATGAATCCCATTCTGACAAAGCCTCTAAAATGCAACTATTTTCAATCTCATTCAGTTGTTTTTCACTGAAGTTCAAAATGTTTAAGTTCTCATCCTTTTCAAGATCTGGAATAGTATGAATGGTTTGAAAAATCAAATTTGGAGAAATATTTGAAAATCCTAAAGATCTATTATAAAAAGGAATTTTCTTAGAATTTTGCATGTCAATGAAAACTTTGTTAACAAAATGATTTACAAATTGCAATGTTTTGATTCCTCCAGAATATACTCTATTATTGATCATTTGTGTAAGAATTTTCTTTGGTATCGTTAAAAATTGATTGGGAGTTTTCACAGAAAGTGTTGATCTTAGTTCTAATGCTGACAAGAAAGATAAACCTTTCACTCCAGAAATTAGTTTTTTGACACTCTTCTCCAAATTTTGATCTTTTGTCAAAGTTCCAGAATATTCTTCTAATAGTGTAATTGTTTGAAGTTGTCTAAGGTAACTTTGAAAAACAATCTGCATATTGGACCAATTCATATTCTGACAAAATGATATACATGAAATACACATTGACAAAACTCCGGTATGGAGCTGTTGAAGATCTCTAACAGATATAAACTTGAACTTTGAAAGAATAACTTCCGTTGATAATCCATTCAAAATTGATTTCATAATCTGTGATGCAAATAATCTTTGATGCCTTCTTAGAAACTCTGGCTCTTTAAGCTTTGGTGGGAGATTATCTTCGCATAGTTGAGAAGCCCAAGAAATCTGCTCTAAGTCAAAGCCAAGTCTAATCAATGAATGACGTTCTAAAATTGTCATTTCTTTAATATTATCATAAAGAACTTTCCAATCCAATCTAAAGAATGGTTGAGTACTAGTAGATGTGGGTTTGGATCCATTTGATATTTCATTTGGAGGAAAAGGAGTCACCAAGTAGGACATATAAGTCAAATCTCCTAAAAAAGTTGATTCCATATTTCTTCTAAGTTCATCATATAGCTCCAAACCTGTGGAAGGAGATAAACCTGAAGAAACAATAGCTTTTCCCAATTGAGTACAGCAACAATTCAGTGTATAACCTCCAATTGAAATTGGGTTTGTTTTTTTCTCCCTATTCATTATCATCTTCTTTTCAAGTAAATAGCTTAAAGCTCTTTCTAATGCATCAATATTCTTAAGGTATTCGTGAGATAAGTCATTGTAAAGCTTAATTTGGTAAGACATTAAAGTAGATTCTGTCAACAAGTCCAAAATTGAGCCAGTATGTGATCCTTTATCTGGAATTTTTTCTTTATTATTCACGGATATATTCTGATCAAACTCAAATAGAACTGCAAGTATTTCTAAGATTAGCCTGGTAATTCCATTAGTATTAGTAAAGAAAGAACTCATCAAAGGTTTCATATCTGCAGTAATAAGCCCTAATGCATTTTCAACCTCCTCACTAACTTCCCTCCCTGGTTGCGATAGAGTCTCATTTACGAGAATGAAGCTCTCACCAAAAGCTCCTTTCTGGCCAGCTCTACCAGCTCTTCCTGACATTTGTTTGTAATCAACACACGTTAAAAAAGATTTTCCAATATTGATACCTCTGAAGATGACTCTTTTTGAAGGAAGATTGACTCCAGCTGCTAAAGTTGAAGTTGCTGTTAGTAAAGACAAGATACCATTTCTATACCCTTTCTCAACTATTCTTCTTTCAATATGAGATAAACCAGAATGGTGAAATCCTATCCCTTTGACTATGCAATCAATAAGAGTGTTATTGTTTTGAATAGATCTTTTTGAAAGAGAGGAGTTCTGCCTAATTTCTTCAGCTAACATATATCTCTGCCTCTCAACAGATCTTAAAGACTGCATAATCTGTTGCCTATTCGAACAATTTTCTATATCAATTCCTTCACAAAATTGTCTTTTTATGCAATTAGCAAAAAACAAAGCTGTAGACTCAACGGAGTACTTTGAAGGACAAAACACTAGTACACTTTCTCCTTTTTTCAAAGCCTCCCATCCTATTACCAACAACTCACTCATATCAACTATTGGGTATTTCCATCTACTAGAACCAATCTGATCAATATCAAAATCTGTCGAATTAAACTTAGAATTAACCTGATGAAAGTCCCAACTCATTACTTTGCTTAATGTATCTTGTACGGAAGACCCTAATGTACTTTTGTTTTGATCCTTTCCTGGCTTAATATATGCCTTGCCTTTGATTACTATATGTTCCCTGAGTGGAACTGGACGAAAATTACTCTGGTAAACTACTGCATCCAACCAAAGGCCAATATCTCTTAGATTTGGTAATGTTGCACTCATACCCACTATTTGTATTGTTCTTCCCTCGCCTTGTAACTTACTCAATAGTCTCACTTTTGTTAGCATCACCTCGAGTATATATCCTCTTTGCTCATCCCCAAGTAAGTGTAATTCATCTACAATAATAATTCCCAATCTCTTAAATAATATTCCATGCTGAATATAATAACTAATCAATGCATTTGCCTTTTCTATAGTTGCTACACCAATGTCAAATTCTTCAAAAAGCGGACTTTTACTTCCATAGTGAAATTCACTAATTCTAAGTCCACACACTTCTCCTCCAGCCTTATAGTAACTATCCCTTTTCTCTGATACCAAAGATACAAATGGGAAAACTACTAAAGCTGCTCTCCCACCTTCTAGAACTCTTTTATACATTAGCAACTCACTTACCAAAGTTTTGCCTCCACTTGTTGGAGCAGAATATACCAAATTTCTGCCTTGTAGTACTCCAGGCTGGGTAATACACTCATACTGCCAATCATAAAGATTCCTTAGGCCTTTTTCTGAGTAATATTTTACTAATCTTTCATCTATTCCTAAACTTTGCAAAGAATTACCTACCTGATTTTCAAAACTGTCTACTTTATTTTGAATAAACAAATTGTTATCGTCAAGCTCCATGTTGGCTTCGCCTGTCTCATTCAAGAGATCTGCCAGGATCTCTGCATCATCACTAACCAAGTTAGAATCAATCAATTCATCCTTCATAATTTCCTCCAAATTTTGAATAATATTACTTATATCTTCTGCCCCACTCTCCTCATAATGGTCACTCATCCCAGCCAAATCCTCTATCATAGATTCATCTTCTTCCTGAATTTCGCTGAATAACTGGCTATCATATAAATCTAAATCCAATAATTCTTTTATTTCATGAACTTCAATCAATTCTTGATTCATACTTGTTT